GAAATCTCCTGAGGATACCGAAAGGTTGAAACCAAAGTAGCAGAATCGGCTGATTTCCTAATTTTTTATACTTAAAAGCTCTACATGTTAATTTTTTATCTTTTTATATGTATATTGAGCACTTTTTTTTAATACTACTGTTTCAGGTCCAATTCAACTCTGTCCATTAACTTCTTTATATATATATATATATATATATATATATATATATATATATATATATATACAGAGAGAGAGAGAGAGAGAGAGAGAGAGGTAGTAATCCGTAGATATAATCCAGGCGAGTCCTATTAAAACAATATAAAATTTTAAATATTAAATGTAAATGTTAAATTTGACTCACAAAGAACATTAAACAGAGAAAATTTTTTCGTACAATTGAAATTAAGATTCCATTATTCGCGGGTGAAAATGATCATTAACTAATGGTATATTAATTCCAATTGTACGAAATATATATATATATATATATATATATATATATATATATATATATATTGACGACACTGTTCTTGGTCGAGTTGGTTAAAAGCACATCATGTCTAACGACAGCTTCCCCCGCAAAAGAGGATGCAGGCTCGATTCCTGTTGTAATGCACATTTTTCAGGCTAGTAGATAAAAATAAATATATACTATTTAAAAAATAAACGAAGTGTCTACTCAAATATCCACTAAAAAGAAAATGTTTAAAAATGATAAAAAATATGTATGATTACTTTTTTAGACATATATATGCATATACAGGGTGTGATGAATAAATTGTCGTCTAAAATACGCAAAAATGTAAATATTACTGACATCTCATTTTAGCAGATATATTTACCAGAATTACACAAAAATATCTTGAAATACTAAGTAGTAAATTCGTTCAATAAAATCACCATTGGTCTCCTTGTTTAAGTTGGTGAATGCTGCCATAATCCTTGCCTTCAGTCCATCTTTAGTGTTACAAGGAGTTTTATTGGTCTCTCACTCAACCTCGCCCTACACATAATAATCAAGGGTGTTGTTGTTAGGTGGCCAGATGTAAGGGGTGATGTGGTTGCAAAAATTGACTGACAATCATAACTGCTTGTGTGACATGGTGCAGAGTCATGTTTCCAGACATAGGGTCTTCCAGAAGTCACCTTCTTCACCCTGTGTAGCTCTACCTCCTCAAGTCAATTGATGTAGGCCGCTGTGTTGAGTCTGAGGCACTGCAGGAGGATGAATGGCGGCATAACGTCGCCATCACCAGTGATCACTCCAAACACCTTCGTAATCACCATTAAACATTCAAATCTTTCCGAATCCTCTGCACTGTCTTCAGATTGACACCAAAACACTCTGAAATGTTCATATTGGAGATTCCGGCGAGAGCGCCAAGCAGTACAGCATGCCGTTTCCAAATTTCTGGCGGAGTGAATTGCGTCATGGTGCTTCTTTTCTCGCAGTCAGTGCCCGACTGACCATACTTTACTATGCAGACGACAAAATAGAAAATAAACAACGCACATGCCCGAAATTAAAAATATAAAATGACAACTTACCCATCGCACTCCATATATCAGTCTATTCATATCTATCTATCTATCTATCTATCTATCTATCTATCTATCTATCTATCTATTCAGCTAACAAAATTGCAGATGGAAAAATGCATTTTCCAGCTGGTGTTGCACTGTATTGACTTTATCGAATAAGAGCCCAAATTCATTGATCAAAGCAGTTTTCCTTTCCATCATTGTCACCATCACCATAGCAACAAAAATTATCTTTGAGGAAAAGGCAAAATGATTTCACATTTCTCACTAGATTTTGGATTTTTTAAAAGCTTGTCGAATATTCTAATATCTTAAATCGATATTATTTTTTTCCTCTGGCCGATATTATGAAAGAACCATCAATAAATTTCCTTCATCAAGCTGCATGAACACATGGCGATTTTATATGCGTTGCTTAGATGTGGCACAAAGCCGAAAGTGGAGGGCACCCAGTGAGGATCTAAGTCACTACTCAGTCGTAATAGATCTAGCGAGACAAGCTTGCTAACCATTATACGACATCGAAGTGCCCAGCTGCATGCACGCATGCACATATACATGTATTTTGAGACTATAGGTATTCACTCCTAAATCTTCATCTGCACAGAGACTTTGAATTCTAATTTTCAACAGTTTCCCTATTTGAAATGGAATTTTTTCTTTATAGCCATGCTCTTGTGCCAAACTAAGTTATAATTTCTTAAGAAATTCTAAGATCTCTTGTATATTCGAACCGTAAGTTGTCTTTTTTAGGTAGAATTTTAACTTGCTTTATATAACTGCTTATACTTTATTTTGGTAAATAATATTAAATGAACATATTCATTGCTACCCAGGACGTATGAACACTTACACAGGAACGGCTATGTTTTTACTAATAATAATTACTATATAAGAAAATACTTTATTTTAGTAAATATAATTAAATTACACAATAAAGAATTATAGTAAATATTTTGGGTTGGAATAAAAATTAGTAGCCTTTTTCAAGTTAATTTCAAAGTTAATATTTAAATATTTATACAGAGATATATTCAACCACATATGTGCCATCCTGTTCCACTATATTTCGCCATCTTTGAAGTAACTTCTTTTTTTTTTCCTCCTAGAACTTAGCATCTTTGTGAGACATGAACTGGTCAAAGTGGTTTTGACAGGCTTCCAGAGAAACGAAGTTTTTCTATTAAGAGAATTTTGTAGGGATCAAAATAATTGGCAATCCGAAGATTGAAGGTCAAGTGAATAAGACAGGGAAGTAGGACATACTGAGAAGCCGCATCAGTTTCTGCCATGTTTGCAAAATGACATGAGATCGCGCGCTGTCCTGGTGGAAGACGAAAGTCTTCCGATTGTCCAATTCCAAACACTTTTAATTGATTGCCGACTTTAATCGACCCAATTAGGAACAGTACTTGTCTGAATAACGTCTTGTTTAAAGGAAGATGGCTCACAACAGCTTTCCCTTCCAACCAGCATTACCTTCTTTGGATACGAACCTGCTTTTGGAGTAGTTAACCCTGGTTCATTTGGTTTACCCCAGGACATTTACTACTCCACATTGTTGTAAACAATCAATTTTTGCCTGTGATCGTTCTTTTTAAAAATGGGCCTTTTTGTTGCGTTTGAGCAAAAAATCGCAAATGTAAATGCGGTCCATTCATTTTTTTCTTTTTTTTTTTTTGCCTTTACGTCGTGACACACATCGTAACGATTTACGTATCTAAGTGTTGTCAAATGCATTAAATCGCTCATATGAGATATCTGGAATATTTCTGCAATGTCCTATATTGTGTCACCTTGATTATGTTTAATCAGCATTCTGCTATATAACAAAAACACGGCGCCACCTCCAGTCCGAAGACGAAAGGAGCCACTAATCTATTAATCACAACCAGACGATGTTTATACTACATTGATCTAACATTTACCTACCTTTCCAGTAGAGTAAGCTACGGGAAGGTCTATTTTTACTTTATACAAATCCAAAGAAGATGGGTCCAAGGGGCACAACATCCACTTAGGCAGTGTGTACAGATTCTTTGATCTAAAACGGAAATAAATAATCCTGTCATTTTTACAGGTGCCATGCTAGTAATAATACTAATTAGAAAGATCACGAGAAGGAAGAGAAGAAATAGAAGAACTATTATGGTCACGCGATCGCTTAATGAGGAATAAATGTTTTTGCACATGTAATCGACAAGAAAGACAAAAACATAGTTCAGATCATAGTATTGGATTATTAAGTAAAAAATTTACTCAACCAAATGAACCTTTTTAGTTGCGATATTTGGCTTCGTACTCACATCGAGGCACTTCCTAAAATCAAACCTAAATATTCTAAAAACTCTTCGTCAGACGGGGAATTTTTCCGTACCTCACACCCACTATCTATCTATCTATCTATCTAAATCTGTTCATTATTTATTTATTTATCTATCTAGCTACTGCTATAATGGAAATGATGTCGCAAACAATGATCAATTACGTGACATGCGTGATCCACAATTAGTCGATACAAGATTGACGAGGCAGTTTTTTTCCCGCAGTAAGTTGTCATTTCTTTCTTAGACAAGTTGCCATCCAAGAAGAGGATTCATACCCAAGGCTATATAACCCAATCTGTCCTGCTCCTTGGGGGGGGGGGAGAGAAGGATTCATACCTTTCCCAAGTGAATGTGATGGATTCGACATGAATTCGAACTCGGCTCTCTGATTCTTCAATCTGAGCCGCTATACATTACTCCACCGTTCCTCCTCTCTTACTGTTGTTTACAAACCAATATTTACCCATAGAATACAATTTATTCGTAGAATATAATTTTGTTAATTGTTTACCACGTAAGAGAATAACAGATAAACACTTCGTGGCTTATCTGCCTCGAATTTAATCGGCCATGTTATTAAATTTATTTCTTACTATTCGAGGTCATTATGCCAAATAGTGATAACATTGAAAAGACTCTAATCAAATCTGAAAGTTAAAAAGAAGAAATCCTTTTGGAAAAATTAATGTTATTCAACTTTACAACGAGAGATGAAAACATAAAGTAATTAATAAACTCTAATAACACTTATCAAGCAAATTACAGTATTTGCAACTTTCAATTGTATATTACTCATTCAAAGCGATACTCGAGTTATTGAATTCATTCTTTTGAAGAAAGCTGTAGTCGAAACGTTGTGCGAAAAGAATTAATTTCAATTCTGAAAAGCTCTTGAAATGTTAAACAATAAATGACCTGAAGACGAAAGTTTAACATTATCGTCATAAATTTTAATGAGAACGCTAGTCTCATGAATTCAGTAGTCCGAACATTACTTTTACTGTATACAAGTTGTAAGTAAATATTATGATTTGCTTTATTAGTGTTGTAACATTACTGTATTGTTCTAAGTTATGAATGGAAACATTATGAGGCCCTTAAATATAATGCATGATGACAATGACTTTAAATTATGAATGGATACGTGGCTTACGGTCATATCCCGTTTAAACACCGTACGATTACCGAAGTTAAGCAACATCGAGCCTGGTCTGTACCAAGATGGGTGATCACTTGGGAATACCAGGTGCGGTAAACCTGGATGCGCGGGTGGTGTAATGGATAAAGGCTCGGGATTGAAAATTGAAGAGCTGAGTTCCAATTCCAGTTGGGTTCGTTATATTCACTTACACGCAAATGCCCATGAGAAAGGTATGAATCCACCTTTTATCCCCACCCCAGCTAAAATGGGTATTTGCGTACAAAATATTTAGATCTTGGTATTAAATAACCTATACAGGTTGATATGCCACTAAACAAAACAAAACAAAAACAAAAAAAAAACTTTTCAGTACTATCAATGAAGATTCCCTATATTAGCCAATAAACGAAATTCTAGTAGGGTTCGTTTTATTCTCTAACGCGTAAATTCTCTTGAGATAGGTATGAATCCACCTCTTCTCCCCTCCACAGCTAAGGGGTAATTAGTAAGACTTGTATTAGTAAATCATTATTACCTCCACCAAATTCTTACAATTTAAAATAACCTGCAAAATGCTGATAAACCGTAGAAAACAAACAAACAATGAATGGAAACATTATAAAGTCCTTGCATAATCTAAATCAAACATTTGGGACAAAAATTTGAGTTACGTAGGATACGGTATTCTGTAGCACAAAACTAAAACCAATGCAGGAAAATGGATATTATTTTCGGTCTCAACAGCCCCAAATTGTTCAAAACATTCCATTTACCATTTCAAAAGAATTTTGTAAATCTGTTTTAATATATGTTTTGCAATTGGGACCAACATGATCGCTTTAGCAATTATGCTTACAACGTTTCGACCATTGTAATCTCGGGCTTTCTTCAGGTGTCTTAGTACTTCATAATCTTCTTCGAATCGACCATCCTGGGTATTACGATAAACTACATCCGGCAGCAAAGCCTTTGATCGGGAGGTTTTGTTGAACTCTTAATTGCTGTTGTTCCCAGGTCCAACCTGACCCGGAGTGGTAGCACCTGTTAGGGTCCCAGCAATTGGAAAATAGTTAACGCCCAAAGTGGAGTCAAAACACTATGAAATATTAAAAATATATTTTTGTAGTAGAAATGCCAGCAATGCATTTATCTAACAATACATTTTTGTAAAAAAAAATAAAAAAATATTACCAGCAATACATTTTTGAAGAAAAAAAATATTACCAGCAATACATTTTTATATAAAAAAAAATAGTACAAGCAATACATTTTTATATAAAAAAAATAGTACAAGCAATACATTTTTGTAAAAGAAAAATTGTCAGCAATACGTTTTCGAAGAAAAAAAAATTATTAGTAATACGTTTTTGTAAAATAAATTAATAATGTTCCTAAGAAAACTAAATTTCGGCATTAAATTACCCACAAGGAGTTGATATGCCATTAAACAAACAAAACAAACAATTTTCGAAGAGAATCCTTTATTCAATCCACGACTGGTCTCGTATCGCTTTCCATGCTTAGGAGATATTTGATATCAGTTAATTCTTAAGAGTAATATTCACCTTTGTGCCGTTCACCTGTTTCTTCCACTGAACCAGTCTTGGGATTGAACACATACACTGATAATCAGATATATTTTTACCAACGCTTTCATTCATTAAGCCATGTGTCTTGAAATTCTGGAACCTTAATCCTAATGTCTGAACTCAGATGATGAGGCTGTTAAATATGGGAAGGGTCATGAGAAAAATTGAATTGAATAAAAAATTCGTTTCGAATTTCCACGAACATTAACGAGTACGAAGGTAGACACTTGAAGACGACTGTATAATACAATTGCTGAAACGTCGTGAACATAACAACCAAGATGAACATGCTGATCCGAATAGCAAAGCATATAATAATAATAATTCCTCATTTCAAAAATGCAGTTGCCCATACTAAATACCAGTGGCGGAATTACCAAAATTTAGGTACTGAGCATTATTTGTTGTTATTGAATGACAAAAGATGGTTTTTATCAGTTGGATCATAATTAGATTTATGGTTTCTTACCTATCTTATTGCAGTAGATTTAGTATATGTTGAATGAATGTTAATGTAAAATGTAGCCACGGATTCATAAGTAATAAAGTAATTAGTGACAATATTTTTCCGGTGTGTAAACTGCCTGATATTTACCATTGATGGACATTAATTAAAAATATTGCACACTGATGCCAATTAATTAAAATATTATAAGGATAGATAGATACATTTTACACGGCCTTCTTTCAGATAAATAATATTGCTTTCGTTTTTCTAGGCCTGCCTCCTATATGTTAAAGGTTACTATTGAATTTGTCTACCAAGCTTTAGATAAGAACGACGAAGCTCGGATTGTGTCTTTAGATATCTCAATGCGCCTGACAGGGTTTGGCATGTTAGCCTTCTTTACTAGATCAACTGCTGATAACACAACTATATATTTAATAGTACGTCCGATAGATCTGACAAAGTAAAATTGGCAGCTGCTCTCGAAAATGATCTCCAATCAATTATTAACTGGGGCAAGAAATGGTTCGTAAATTTTACCGCCTCCAAAATAAAACTGCTGTCTTTGAATCTAGAGAACCATTAACCCCCAGAAGAGTAACATTACGTCTTCTCGGTCTTACGTTTTATACTGACATTAAGTGGAATGATTATATTGAATCAATTGCTAGGTCACCTGCTAGGAAAGTTGGTTCACTATGTCGTACAAGACAATTTTTTTCGCCAGAATCCATCTTGTATATTTATAAATCTACCATTCGTCCGTGCATTGAATATTTCTGGCATATCTGGACTGGTGTTCCTTCTATATATCTCGAGATACTTGACAAAATCCAAAGAAGTGCCTGTTATGATACTGGTCCTAAATTGGCATCTCGACATCATTCACTTCCCCACCACCGTGACGCAGCTTCCCTCTGTCTTTTCTAAAAATATGTTCATAGCAATTGTTCTAATGAGTTTCCCTCCTTGGTTCCTCGTGAATTTAAGCGTACTACTAGATTGGCAACTAGGTCTGATTTTTTTTTTTTTTTTTACTGTGAGCTAGTTAGATATAACCGTAAGTCCTATTCTAATAGTCTCTTTGCTCTCACGTCTCGCCTGTGGAACTCCTTTCCGGTTTCTTGCTTCTCTGTCATCTAAGATCTTCAAAAATGTTAATGCAACGCTAGTTAACATTTTGTGTCTTCCTGAATGTTGTTCTTTTATTGTCCGTTCTCCCCACTAAAGTCTTCTCGTTCTCTTTCAGTCTTTGTAACGCCTTGCCTTTTAGTGACATTATTGCTTTGCTTAGGGGAAAATGATCAAAATAAAATGAATACATACATACATACATAAAAAGAGGGTGCACCTTGACATGGTGTAATGGTTAGCAAGCTTAACTCGCTAGAACAATTACGACTGAGTAAGGAGTTCGATCCTCACTGGATGCCCCATACTTTCGGTTTTTCACCACATCTAAGCTACGTTTACAAAATCGCCATACATAAAAAAGGGCGTTGAAAGTTTTCGACACGACCAAAAATTAAATGAATTTAGAAAAAATTCTGAGGTTTGGTCCCATGATCACATTTTGAAAAGTGGGTTGGGTCGAGAACTTTTCAGTAGCCTGTGGAGATGTGAGTGCAAAGTAAAATATCATTTAAGGACCACTGACAATATTGCATTGTCACAGGCATCGTGACCTAAACTCAGTTTTTTTTGTCAATTACATAAGCAACAGTTTTTACTCTGCCCTAAACGATCATGTGACCGTACTTAAATATCTACGAAATTATCAGCCAATTGACCTTTTTTCGGAGACAATTACTGAAAAACCTAGCATGTTCGTTCTCAGACAGAAATTCAGAAATGTTTGTATATTTTACTCGGTGGTTAAAAACTAGAAAGTAGTTGATAAAGAAAATGTTACAAGGGTTAAAATGTGGATTTTTATCTAAGTGCCTGAGATGACCTTGAAACTTTTCCCGGTATTCTAAAGCAAAAATAACAAAGGAGGAGGGAATAAAGAAACGCTTGAAAAACCGAAAGTCTTGTTTGAATAAGATTTTTTTAAATAATTCACCCCAAGCAAGGCAGGAGTGCCGCCAGTACGCAAGGAGCTACAGAGAGTGTAAGTAAGGGAAAGACTGGGTATAGGAGGGAGGAAAAGATAAAAAGAAGAACGGGGATAAAGGCCATAGAACATGTTGATTGACATTACATTAAAATTTTTGAAGATTATAGTTATCAGGGAAGCAAGTAAGAGGAAGGGAGTTCCACTGCCGGAAAGTTAGAGAGAAGAGAATGTTGGAGTAGAAGACGCGGTTAAATTTAACTGTTTCGACCGCAAAAGGGTGAGACCGAAATGCCAAGCTAGTAGCAGGCTTAAATTCATGCAGTCGGGGCACCATGAAAATATTTATTGAAAAGACATAAGGAAACTATATTACGTCGCTAAGAAAGTGACTGGAGTCGAGACCCCAAGTCAGGACCAATTACATTGCATATCCGTCTTTGGGTTTTGTCGAGAACCTCGTGATGAACAGCGGGGGCACCAGACTAAATAAGGCAACAGTATTCCATGCATGGACGAATGGTGGATTTGTAGATGTGAAGGATGGACTCAGACGAGAAAAATCTTCTGGTGCGACACAGAAAACCAACTTTACTTGCGGTAGATGCAGCAACTGATTCAATGTGGTTGTTCCACCACAGGTCAGTAGAGAAGGTGAGACCAGGAAGGCGCAATGAGGCGCTCTCGTGAAGTTGAGCATCAGCCATGCTGATAGGAGGCAGGGAAGTTTCTCAATGGTGAACAAATGACAGCAGTTTCATTTTGGATGCATTAAAATTCACAAGCCATTTTCTGTCCCAGTCAACCACAGATTGGAGGTCGTTTACGAGACCAACGACCAGGTTAACTTTGTCAGCAATGTCGGATTTACTCTTGAGACAGGAGTAAACGGCTAGTGTCGTCTGCGTAGATGCCAACTTGAGAACTGATGACGTCAGGAAGATCATTGATGAAGATCAGAAACAGTGTAGGACCAAGGATAGAGCATTGAGGAACACCAGCGTTCGTATAGGAGGAACTG